AGGTTCAAAATCTTGCTTTCGTAAAGTTATTGTGTAAAATCAAACTAGAATAAAGACTTTATATCAAGTTGGCTTCTAAGTCTTGCACAATTTTTAAAAATTGCAATTTTCTCAAGTTTCTAAAATTCGTTTACATTTGTATTTGATGATTTTTTCGTATTCGATGTACTTGGAAAGAAAAAACCTGGAATGTACTCTCTAGCAATTTACAAAGCAAACATTAGTCTTAGGCTAGTTAGGGGCTACCATCAGGCTTATCACGAAGTTACAAGTTGATAAAAATAAGCCCTGAGACTGTATCTTTTCAAACAATTAATCGCTGAAGACGCTGAAGGCTCACGCAATTTTACTTTGGTTTTGGCTGTGTTTTACCACCTGATCTTTCTGAGGAAATAAGTGCTGTTTGCATGTACTTACGAACATAATTTTCTAGTTTTCATTTGCTCATTATCGATTAAGAACATAATAATTATAGTGAGATAGCATATACGTTACATGTCTTATAAGTACGGAAATAATTGGAACGTTCAGGCATTCCAGGTTGGTGCGATGCTTACGGAATAAAACAAATTTTTGCATGATGTTCCATACTTTTATTTAGACATCGACTGCCTTGGAGAAATGGCATATAAATATTTCAACATGCACATCTAATTGTGTAACATAATGGTATAACCAAACTTCTTAACCAAAGGCAAAGCCCTTTTTGAGTGTTTAAAGAGCTATATTTATCAGTATTCACTTTAAGCCATCTTCCATACTTTCCGATGTTGATTAACTTCCTCAATATCAGCATTGGCAAAAGCGGCAACTTGAACGTTTCTGAAACCTGCGGGATAAAATCCGCCTCAATGCATTTCGTTTTATTGAAATCTGATCGATAGAAGTTGACATCGTACGGGAAAGCAATCTACCTCTTTGCTGTTCTAACTCGAAATCATCTGTTTAAACATAAAAATTTCTGTGATAAGTGAGGGACATTAAGAAGTCTAGCAGCAATACCCAAACCCGACCAACTATGTGTGAGAATTGGGTATAACTTATTATTGACTCCATCTATTAGTTTCCTAACAAACCCTTCCGAGCAAATTTGCGCTCCCCCCCCCCCCCCCTCCCCACACTCTTCCTGTATCACAGTGAAATGAACAAATAGGTGTGAATTATAAGTTTTGCGTAAGTTGCAACTCCAACTACTCTGCTCAAAAAAAAAAAAGAAATCTGTCAACAGCTTGTGCATCTAACCCAATCAGCATGCTGGGCCCCTTCGTAAAAATTCTCCTCACTTCAAGCGTTTTGATATCATAGGCAAAATCGATGCGCATAGATAGATATCTGTACTCCCGCTTGCATCCGAGGACAAGTTGCCGGATAACTCGTCCATCTTTGCAAAGAAATTTTCAAAGGCTTGCGCGTTGAAGGGAGGGGGGGGGGGATATGAGGGAGGGCCTTGTGCAAACTCTTATGCAAATCTCAGGGTCTTAAAAACCGAAAGTTGTGAGTCGCAATGGTAGACATTTTCATAGACTCAGTGTTGATTGCTCAATGTTTATGTACTCTACTCACCTTCGAGAATATAAGTTGTTCCAAAAAGATGGGCCTACTGTTTGATTGTTAATAGCTCTCTTTCAAGTCTTTTGAGAAGCTTTAGGAGCCATTATGTAGAGCCATTAGGTAATGCAAATTCAACTTAGATTTACAGAGGGTAGCGAATTACCGATCGCCCTCCATTACTGTAGAATTACGGAAGGAAGTTCCAACATAAGTGTCACTATGAAAAAGCTGCCATTTCAAAAAATCTCAAAAAAGTCTAAAAACCTCTGTGATAGGGTTTTCATGAACGCCGAGTTTAATACACAACTTTGTACAAGTTTTTGAAGCTTTCTAAACGGTGTAACCACATATTTGGAAACATCGAAATAACGGCTGCCACTGCTTACTTGGTATGACTCTTTAAGGAAGCACTATGATGAGACGCGAAGTTTATTTTTAGAATCAGCAACTCTATTAGTGTGAGCCCCTTTAAAAGTTCCTATTGTAATTCTACGTAATGAAGAGAGAGCGAGCGTTTGCTCTATACTGCAGATGTAAGTTGAAGTCAGCTCTACAAAACAGTACATACCTAGTGCTTCGCTAGAGATTTCATGACAAGAAAGCTATAAGTGCTCAAAAAGTAGGCATAAAACACTTTTTTTGGGACACCCTGTACAACATTCTTGAACTTGATAATAAAAAATGTTTCCTCATTCAACATACGTGCAAATCTTGGAGTTGGATGAAAGACAAAACATAAATTTGTGCTAACGCTCTTTATTCAAGAGAACGTAATTCTTTTTGAACCTTTTTTACTTTGCAGTCATTCCTGATAGTTCGCTAATTTAACAGATCTGCATCAAAGAAGCCTGCAAAGATTTAGCTTTTTTGTCTGCGCTTGATCTCTTACGTCGTAATCTTGCTCAGTTCACACTCTACTGCAATTTGCTAAAGCTGCACTTGGAAACAAACGAAGTACACTGTGTGGGCGAAATTGTAAAGCTTTAATGAGCATGCAAAAGGAAATGAAAGGTGTGAAAGGGTGAAGGAACATTTTTTAGTTAAAGCTAATGGCTTGTGTTATTAAGACTTTGATTAGGAACGCAAAATAATGGTAGAGGCAGTGTTCATTCTGTATAATATAATCTCCCCGCTAATGGTTAACTTGTAGTTGCAGATTTTGGCTTAACAAAAGTTCGTGTTCTATCAGTCAACCAAGTTTCAAGTCACATCAAACTTTTCATATGTCAATACTTTAATATCTATCAGCTTGCTAGTAATCTGCAAACAATATGTATGGAAACGAGAAAATGTTTTGTTTTCCAATTGTGTTAACAGCTCCCAAATTTCCACCTATCTAACAAATTCTTTGGCGAAAAAAAAAACACTCAAAGTTTTGCATTGATTGTGTTTCTTGTGAACAGTGGCAGAAAGAGTTGTGAATCACACACGATCTGCTATAGAAGAAGTCTATAATTCGTTACGAAAAAAATCACAAATTCTTTGTTTTTGAACAAAAGTAATCGGGCGCAAATGAAAACGAAATCAAGAACCTTGCCAGAAAGATCAAACAACCGGCAATTCCTTCTTATATGGAAAGCTCGGACAAATACATTCCCATTCTTACAATGTAGATCACTATGCGCTGATAATGAGTAGCACCTTGATGTAGTGGTTGCATTCGTTCAAGGCTTTCCTCCGAAAAACAGTATTTTTCCTCAAAAAAAAAACAATGTTCTACTCATCTGCCTACGGTAAACATCCCTTTAAAATTTAAAGCATGGAAAAACAGAAATAGCTGCAAATTTTTGATATGAACTTTTTGCTTTTCTGCGCGTATAATGTCTCTGATTAGCACAGTCTGCAATGTGCTGCGTGCACTTTCATATAATTGAATGGTATTCATTTTCCTCGTAAACTTCCGCATTTGTACAGAAACAGTAGGCTTGGGTTTTTCTTTGTAAAATCTTTGGTGACAGTACTTCGTGGTGTGCCTATGTTCGCCACTATATCATCAAAAAGATGCTTTGTATTACATCTTGGTACAATTTTGACGATTTCAAATCGTACCATTTGATTAAATGGCTTGGCTTCAGGAAGGCGGGGCTTCGTGACCTAATTAAGGCTAGTTAAAGGCAGCGTCCAGGCAGATCCGAGCTCGGCGACTACGCCCACTTCCTTCGGACGGCCAACCCCTTATGAACGAAATCTCCTCATCCTTAACATGTTTTCACATGACCAACACAGTCGAGCTTACAGCGTTTACCTGTTAATACTTGCTTTCGACAAGGATAACATCAGATGCGCTCGTCCGGGTTTTCCCAAAATAGCCCCAAAAGATGGTTTTCTGAGAAATTCACGCTTCTTGAGTTCCATATTCGGAATCAGCGCCATGGAAAGGCCTGGATAACATAAAAATATAGAAGTCGAGAATCTGCCTGGACGCTGCCTTTAATGATCAGAGAGCACTCGCGCGAGAGAGACGCAGGTGCGTCGCGGGCGCGAACGGCCTTAATTAGCCAAGCCAGTTGAATCAAAGGTTAAGTTTGGTCAAGAAACAAAGGTAGGTGCATTGTAAAGAAACAAAGATACAGCTGAGTATATGATTTTACGCAGAAGCTCACAAACATTTTTGGCAAACTATCGTAAAGCTACTCATGTGATTGATTCGTGGAGGAAAGTTTCTAAGCAGCCCCATTGGTGCTTTTCCTGAATAGACCAATCAGCGATTTCGAATACGGTAGAGAATTATGGTGTGCTGTATTCAGAGTTAATTTTCGGCCACGGATGAATCACTTGAGTTGCGCTTGACCAGTGGCTTAATCAAAGAATCTCCACCTTATCCACTTATGACATTCATCTTTGGAGTTAAATTACAATTCTTAAGCAATCCCATTGGAATCCTTTTCGAATGGACCAATTAGCGTTTTTGATTACGGTGGAGATACGGTGGCTGCATTCAAAGTTATTTCACTTGAGCTTTTGCTTGATCAGCGACTTCACTAAAGGATCTCCGTCATTATCCATATATGACGTTCACCTATCTCAATCGGTTTGAACTCTTTTGCCTCCATTGCCATAGTCTTGGCACACCCTGCATTGCGCAAGAATCCAAATTATTGTCAATCTTAGTGAATGATGTTTTATATTTGAAAATGAGCTGACTTTTCGACGAAGCATTCTCTTCTTAGATGCCTCTGCAAATCTTGCCAATGCTACGTTCACAGTCCCGTATGGATCATACAACTCAGCTTTGACTTCTCTTTACGTCTTATAGATCGCTGTTATCGCACCTTAAGTTTTCTTCCATCGTTCCTAATTCAGTCTTTAGAAATGAATACTTTGGAATGATACTGGCCTTTATACTCATCTATCTTACTAGTTATTCAAATAGTACCACATCTGCCCATCATCGGCTTTTTCACAGTTCTATATATACAGAAATTGTGGAAGACCGTGTACAATTTGTTATGTATGCGGATGACAACGAGGTGGTCTCAGCTTTTATGAGAAGAAGGCGTTTTATTTTTTCAAAATAATTTTTAGGAAGCTGCTAATAACGCACGTCGGCAGTTACTCTGGTTTTTGGAACCATGCCACGATGTCCCTCTAAATGGCACAGTAAACAAAACTAATGTAGATATCACAGAAAATCGCATAAGATGCGACGATATGGAAATACTCAGCGGAGCCGGCGATGCCTATGTTGAAAGACATTGTCATAACGAAGAGTATGTCATGAAAACACTAGCCTCCAATGTTTTTATGCTTATCTCAGGTCACCAGACCAACCTCTTCTTCTTCGCCGCATTTCATACGAGCAGAAAGAATGCTCGTGCTCGATTAGATGTGATGACGGGACGGAATTCTTCCGTTACGCTGGTTGCCGATGCCCGCAGGACGAGTACGTTCATCCTGGTAAGGCTAGCATCAAGGAAAAAATCAAGAAAGAAAGAACTTTTGTCTTTGCAGAAGCTGGTTGCCTTGATCCAGACTGTGTTTGGAAACCTGATGACAGCCGATGGATAATTATCAACACTACAGGTGAGCCGGAGTTGTCAACTATCTAGAGAAGATGACGCTTGAAGTAATTCCTCCTCTAGTAATCATTGCTTCACTTCCAATAATAATTCTCTACGCCTGATAATGTGGTATCTGTAAAACAAAAGTCTCACGAAAGTTTCATTTCAGCTGAGGAACACACATGAAACAAAAGAATTCCTTCAAAAAGTTGTGACGTATATGTGTGCTAGAAATGTCGAAATCCTTGACAATCTCTTTTACAACTAACATTTGCTGCTGCTGGTAAAACCTTTTACAAGTAGCGTTTAGCAGCTGATTCTTGGAATGTTGTCTCTGCTGTGTTTGTGGTCAACCGTTTCAAGATCAAGCTTATCTAAAACGGGTCTTGAAATTGAATTTCAATGCTGAAACCGTTGCTAAAACTTTTAAAAAATACCTAAAGATTTTAGTTTTATCTAGATCCACCTGGTTTTCCGGTTTTTTCTCGTCTATTGACCTGAAATTGACCTTCTTGAATTACTTCAGCTTTTTGGAAACAAGACTGAGTTCCTCTTTCAATACATCTAATCGAGAGCTATTATCCATTTTTTGGCTAGATGCCAGAAAGGCCTGTTGTGGGGGCGGGGCTGCCACGTTTCTGTATCTTGTAATTACAGCGAAGAGCATGGGGTTACGGTTAGCTGCTGTCAGGGGACAAATTTCAGTTCTCCATTTGAAACTCGTGCCTTTTTCTGGATGGGAAAGGTTACGCTCAACCAATTAGAACCTCTTAGCTCCTAGAGACAGAAAATTAAATGTGAAAGTGGAGAGGTTCGCAGTGGAGCTAAATACTTTCGCTTTTCTCTTATGGGGGCTCTGGAGTAGAGCCTCAAAAGGTGAAAATAGAATTACTGATGGTTTTCTTGTGAACGCCTCGAAAAGCGCTCGATCCAATGTCTTTTGTGTACAGAGACCAAGAATGAGGTTGCTTTTTGCAGCATTCGCAAGCTTGCATCTTAACCTCATAACAGCAGTTTCATACCATCAGTGTTTAGGGAAATTTACAAAAATCCGGTTTAGACAATTTGATGGCTAAGGCTAGAGTCCTAGGTACCGTAAATTACATGGAAATTGTCCATAAGCCAGATAATTTTATCGCTGGCAAGTTCAGGACAAAAATCCAAACTGACAAGTCAGCAGCTTATCATAAGCGAATTTAGATACTGCTCTCAATCTGAGTGTCATGGTCGGCGCGGCTCGGTTCCTCGCGAACCGCCTCGCTTGGGTCTCTCTCGCGCGTTCGCCTTTAGCGGATTTTCTTAAGGCGTGGAAAATACCGTATTCTTGGGCATCAGTGGCTGACGAGCTGGGCAAAATGCCCGTGAGACGTTCGCGAACGCGTCGAGTTGCACAAGCGAGGCGGCTCGCGAGGATCCGAGCTGCGTCGACTATGACACTCACATTGAAAACCCTGTAGGCAGTTATCGAAATGAGTCAATCAAAGCTAGTGCTAGTGACAAGCCAAACTTTCAGGTTCTCGCGCAGCTTTCGCTTCCATAGCTCTACCTCCTGGAAACAACTCCGCATCTATCTACAGTCCATATTACCAGCAGATCTCTATTCAAGTAAGATAATTTGAAATTCCTTTTGACTTGTTAGCTACACAAGATCGTTCCAAGATTTTATTCGGCTGACCCTTCGGCGTGTTCGTCTTCGTTAAAACCTTTTCGAACGTTAACTAGATACGATCCCACACTGCTGAGCGCTAGATGGAAATTTACATAAAACATGCTATGGAAGTCAAAAGTAATATATTGAAAATGCCAACAATGGACTAAGCAATGAGGCGCTATCATTTCGGTCATGTATTTCTGTTTTTGCAACTTCGCGCAAAATTTTTTCTGAAAATTGTAAGGTTTCTTTCTAGTAGGCAAGAATTATCATTCTGCAACTTTTGTCACATAATGGTCTTGTTTAATTACTGTCTTAGAATCTGGCATAAGGCCTACCTGCAGATAAAGTCCAAATATAAGTCCGATACAGATAAGGGCGCTCTGGACTTATATGCCAAGGTAATTATAGTAGAAAAAGAACTTATTTATATGTAGACTTTAATTGAAGATAGGCTTAGCTGGATCAGAAAAACGCCTTATATGCTACACTTTAGAGGACTTATTTATATCTTCCATAAGTTATACATTACAGTGTGTGCTAGAATTTGCTTATCGTCTGAATAGTGCTCCACACTCGTCAATCGTCGTGACTGCGGAATTTTTGAATCCCAACGGTAAGCGGATTTTTGTGAGAATATTGACTGACTAGCAAGCAATACCATTCAGATTACGACTATGAGACCGTGCACACAAAAAAGTTTCGGGAAGAAAAGGACTACTATACTCGGTTGGAAAAAAAGATTGCCAACACACAATTTTTTTGCAAAGTTTCTATTTCAGAAGGCCACATCTTGCACGGTTCGAGGCCGGGCATTTCTTTCAACCAACTCGAATACGGGTAGAATGTCGCTCAGATTCTAACGCTTATCCTCAAACGAGTGACAATTCAACAATGACAGAATGTGAACTGGGCAAATTTGTTTGGGATGAAGAGTGTACAGGTAAATTTGGAACTGCAAATAAATCGTAGATCGTGATTTAAGAGAATTTAGAAGTTATTTCCATTTTTCTCGGGTTTCTTTCATTTTTTTTTTGAATTTTGCAAATGAAATCGACTAGATAGCGTGCTTGCTCGGAAATTTTTAGGCGGAAATATACTTTCCACATGCGAACTGGACTCTAAGCTTTGTGATGTCAAAGGCCATGTTCGTTGCATGAATGATGTCCTTTGCGACTTGACAAACGATTGCCCAAATGGAAGCGATGAGAATGATTGCGGTAGGCTTTGACCATTTAGATGAAACAAACATGAACAGATAAAATGGTATTCTGAGCATTCACATATCAGAAGAAATTGTATGTAGCAGGAGATGCTGCTCTTACCTTTGTAAACGTTGAAATACTGGACATCACAACGATCAACATTTCTGTAGTCATTTGTGTAATTGCTTTACTTTGCGTCAAGATGGTGTCAAAATACTAAGGTTTTTTAAAATTCTCCCTCGAATAAAAGCCAATAAAGTCCTTAATCATGCTTCAGTGGCATAAGCAAAAGTCTCTATGCCATTTTTTTCTCATTGTTTTTTCCTAGTTAGTAAACGATGCAAAGTATACCGTACTTCCCGTAACTCTACAAAAATAGCCGAGTAAGTTGTTATTAGGTTGAAAAAAAGAATGTCGCTTTTTTGGGTGTTTCTGCTGAAATGAATATTTTCGAACCAAGGCATATGCAAGGCCAGAATTTCATGGCCAAAGTTATGAACGCTTGTAGTCAGCGGCATATATGGGAGAAGCCTAGGATCATAGGGGCGGTGTTTGCCATACCTCCCTCGTTTCTCAATTTTCCGTGAATTCTAAGCATGAAAAAAAATACAGCAATTGTACCTATGGATAATTACGTACATGTGTCTGTCACTTGCGGGAGCAGGTGAGATCATAGGATGTTGCGCGTTGAAAATCCGATTTTTCGCACTATGAGTGGCTTTTATGTTCTGGCTCCGAACTTTGGGTAGATCACGACTTTTGCCAACATTCGAAGGTCATCTTGTGGAGCTTCCTTTGCTCTATCGAATGGTACTCCTCTCACGTTTTTGGATTAGTTTTTTTGCTTTAATATTGAAAAAAAAATGTTCTTATCTTTCCAACCTAATATAATTCTATTTAGAACAACAGCCGTCTGGCTCGAAATGCGATTTTAATGATGAAAAAGTCTATTGCGATGGCTGGACAATTTTAACTGCGGAACAGAGCAAACCCGTGAACGAACATCTCTTGCGGGTAAAGCGAACAATGAGAAATATTGGCCCGACGCATGAATCTAGACCAGGAGGAGGTCGGTTATTTTCCGCAAACAAAAAAAACGAACCTCACCAGCAGCAAAATTCCAGGATCGTTTCTACTCTACTCAACCGAATTGAATAGAAATTTGTCTCTGACGACAAGAGACACTTTTTTGACTTCACCGTTTTACCCAGCGATATTCAACGATGATGATAAATGCAAAGTAAATCAATATAATTTCTTGAACTATGTGTTGACTATCGCTAAATAGCCTCATATTTTCAGCTAAGGTTTCATATCATCCGGGCAGCAATAGATGTAGAATGGTCAATGTCGATTATACATCCGTCATGGGTGAAAGGTTCCTTACCGCAAAGAGTTTTGATGGAGGAGGAGGGTTTGCGGTAAGTCGAGCTGGAGTTTTAATAATCATATTGAAAAAATACTTAAGTTGACGCTTTGTAAATATAATAATATTATAGGGTAGAACGAGGCTGGCATAGGCAATCTTTGAGCATCGGACCACAGGTAAGTCGAGCATACTTATGAAAAAAATTGTTTTTTTAATTTATTAATTTTGTTTGTCAAATTTCGAGTTCTGCATAATTGTACCTTCACAAAATTTATAAAGAGCACTAAATAAAAAATGTTTTTAGTTCTTCCCTTTCGCGCTACAAATCGAGGCGAATTGGGTTGTAACATCTTCAGCTGCTGGAAATGCATTTGTTGCAGTGGATGACATCTCATTCAGCGTTGAATGCTTTGACAAAGGTAAAAATTACTTTTTGTAAAAATTTTGCTAGTTACTATATAGTTACCGCTGTTTTCCAGACAGACAGTTGGTGCCAGTGCATAATTGGACATCAATAACCGTAGATTCCTGCGGTGCTACTGGTACCCAACTCATTCGAGCAGACAAATGTCTTCGGCGTGGACATAGGCAAGGCCCTTATCAATATCTACTGGTTGACCACCAAGAGCAAGTTTGGACTGTACCGGAGACGTTGCATTATAGGTTTGTGAAGATTTTGTACTGCCCTATAAAAAAAGTGGCGATGACGATTTGACATGGAATTTGAAACGCTTTCTCTGAATCTGCTTCATAATGACAAATTTTTTCAAACAAAAATAAATTTTTTTATGCCTAATTTGTAATTTGCAAGCTTACTGCATTAAAGGCAACGTCCAGGCAGATCTGGACCTATGGGGCTTTTACGTGGAAAGTACTTTTGGGGCCCTAACTAAGGCGCTGCCCAAGCGGCAGCTCAGGTAGTGCTGTAATGGCTGAGATATTCCCCTCGAAACTGGACCCCGCGACCGTGTTTCGCATGGATTCATGGCGCAAAGTGTGGATACTGGCGCGAAACTGCCATGAATCCATGCGAATACGTTCGCGGGGGCCACTTTCGAGGGGAATATCTCAGCCATTAGAGCACTATCTGAGCTGCCTCTTGGGCCTGCCCCCCCTTGCCTTAGTTAGGGCCCCAAAAGTACTTCCCACGTAAAAGCCCCATAGGTCCAGATCTGCCTGGACGCTGCCTTTAAGTTCTACTCTCAGACTTTTTTTGGCGCAATCGAGATGTCTTAAATTGGAGTTTATTCTTCTTTACGGACTTTATTCACAAACTGCTTTCCTCTTGACAGCTATCAGTACATTATCTATACCTAATAGTCACTTGCAAAAGAATATCTGGATGTGGACATTACAAAACGATTTACATAATTCTTACATCCTTTTTCTTGAAGTTACACTGTCTAGAATTGTTGCTTGTGGAGCTGAAGGTGGCTCGTTCACCTTCGAACCAATAGAAAACAAAGGTGGATGTGTGACAGCTGATATTGACCTGATTGTTGGCACAAAACTGCGTTTGTCGATTGGACAGAAAGGAGAATCACCATGCGATCCGTTTGTTAGAAGCTCAATGGTTAGTCAGACTATGAAATACGCATAAGAAGAAAATTAATGGTTTCTAGGACAAGGAGACAACTAAACGGCTTTGCAGCGAACATTATAGAGGAGATCGAATCAATGTAAGATTATCACGTTATGCGAATCACTTTATCACCCTAAAAGTAATGAAAGAAACGACAGAACTATCTCTAAAATGAAGTTTCAAAGAGTCAGAGCAGAACGGAAAGTGTCAACTGATCGATTTCTTTCTGCCTCCCTTTGAGGTATTGTTATACGGACAGATCCGTTCATGCCAGTGGCGTACCGAGGGGGGGGGGCGGGGGGGGGGGGGGGCGCGCGCCCCCCCCGAGAACGGGTCGCGAAATTTTTGAAAGTTACTTACATGCGTTATAAAAATGTGCAAATGACTTGTTTATTTTTGTAAACAATTAAAATAATTTTTAAAATTTTTTAAAAATTCAAATTAGCCTTATAAAAAAAATTTTTTCGGGGGCGTGGCTGACGCCACGCCCCCTTTTTCCAGATTTTAGGGGTTGGGGGCCCGCAGAATTGTTGAGAAGCCCCCCTAAAATTTTTTCGGAGTGCGTGGCTAACGCCACGCACCTCCATTTAAAAATTTTTTTTGCCGCGCCACCCCCCCGAGCCGAAATCCTGGGTACGCCACTGGTTCATGCAAGATTTTATGAAGGGGACGGTAAACGTTCGGTGAAAAAAAATTTCATTGACATGCATTCGTTCAACAACGAAGTATTTTTCATCGCGCTGTTCACTTTGAACAACAAAGCATGGTCATTCAAACTTACTGTATTTTCAATAAACTTTATTTTTCTGTGTATATTAAAAATCACATGAAAAGGTTCTAAAGTTACAATCATAATTGTTACAACAAGCTCGGTACGTCTAGAAATCTTGTTCAATGACTATTTCAGTCCTCCCTCATCTATGGCGCTGGAGGAGGCGGGCCAACTACCGTATCCCTTGACAATGCCTACATCATAGTTGCTGCTGGTGGGGGTGGCGCTTATCCCCTGGAATATATCGAAGGCTTGGCTAACAAGTAAGAGTTTTGGTATTCGAAAGGGTTTACTGTGTAATCCTGGAAGAGTGAATTGATTTAACAATTACGTTATTATTCAGTCCTGCCGGAGGATTTTTCTCTTCGGACTCATCAGCCGACAACTATGTTACGGTGAATGCTGGCAATGGAATTTCGGTAAGTATCAGATGAGGCTTTGATCCCACTACCGATTCTCCGAGTTGTGCACATGAAAGTTTCAGTGTTGTAAATGAGCAAATTTATGTGTGACTTCCTTTTTTTGTGAGCTCCCAAACAGCAAATTTGTTTTGCTTAGAAAAATTCTGTCCATGGAATTAGTCTGAGTGTATATCTTCATTGAAAAGTAGGGAAATAATGGTAATATATAAGGTCAGAAAGCTTCCTTTTCCTCAGTCTATCTGAGGAGGACATTTTGGCAATGTCGGATCGTTGATTGCCGCTGCCATTTTGTGATATATCCGAATTTTTTGGCTGAAACAAATCGTCAGTGTATGCGTGCAGCTCTTTCAAGCCATTTTACCTCTGCAAGAAATCAGAGCCAAAGAATCTCATTATAGATTTCTTCGCCTACGCAACACTTATGGTCCTGTGGAGGTTTTCCAAATACCGGTGGTATAGCTGCACCTTGCGATCCAGCCGCCGGAGGTGGAGGAGGATATTACGGTAAGAAAAACCTTTTGTTCTAAAGTAATGCAGATAGCTAGCTGTTAAGAACAGTCACACAGGAATAATTGCTTTTTAGGAATCGAAAATATCAGCAGTCGTTTTCTATTCCCCACTTTCAGAACTTTTTGCAGCATTTGATTTTTTTTCGACCGCGTGAATTATTTTAATCAAAATTGGCGAACTGTTCAGGGCAAAAAGGTGTGAGTACTGCACAATATAGGGTACTACACCCTTGCTGCAACTTTTTTGACATACTCCTTGGTTTGCGATGCTGTACATGAACAATTCCTGCAATTTAAAGTCGGGCTTCAAAATTTCCGCGAAGGAAAACTTGTTATTTGGGTTGTAAGAGCCTACACGTCGAAGGTTTTTTGCATGTTTTTTATACATCTCATAGCTTTATCGACTACACAACGAAAAAAGTTTGCAGCTCAGATCAACCACATTCAATATCATTTATAGTGGCATACCCACAGAGGAAGCACTCGAAACTGCTTGAAGAACCATTATGTTATTTGGAAAATAAAAATATTGCGATTGTGTATCAAGATTCAAAAATAAATGGCAAAAATCCATTTCAGCTCAAAATGATACGTCCCCCCCCCCCGCCCCCTTGACCTTTTCCCCCTTGTTAAGAAATCTATCTTACGAATATAAAGTCAGTGCAGTGATCTTAAATAACCGATGTTTTAGGTGGAGCTGCCCAAATTCGCAATCATGGGATAGGAGGCACAAATTGGCTAGGAGTTAATGCAACATTTTACCATTTCGGTTCTGGAGTACATTCTGGAGACGGAGTCGTTATAATTTGTGAGTTCAGTTCCTCTTATTTATTTGTCAGTCTATCATAACAAGCGGTCAAAGCGTATTGTTAGTTTTTTTTTCTCTTTCTTCTACCAAATTCAGCTTCTTTTCGCTGTTGTATCAAACAAATATTGATTTTTCACCTTCATAAAAAAAGGTTTTTATTTGTGTAACGAAAAATGGCCTATCAAAAAAAAATCCACCTTATATTCCTACAGATGCATGTCGCCTGCTTTGTCCAGCGAGGTCCAAATGCTTCTTTCCAAGTTTACAAATGGCGGAGGAGATGAATTGTCTTTGCGAATATGGAGAGATCATCGCGCCTGATGGAAGCTGTGCAGAATCACTATGTAGGTTTTAATAACAATTGAATAAAGTAAAAAAAACTGAATAGTGCTTAATCAAATCTCGCATGGTTTGACTTTCTTACCTTCAAATTGTTGGTTAAGATTGTTCAGAAATTCTTCTGTCATGATTTCTGGGTTGTTTCATGCTCTCAAACTAAAAGTTTACCAAAAACAAAAAGAAAGGGAAAGTTGAAATGACTTAAAATATGTTTGCATAATCTACAAGGCGTTTTGAGGTACTTTTGAAGTGGGAAATAAAAAAAATACAATGAATAATTTGACCAAGAATTTGTAATCAATCACCTCGTTGAAATGCTATCTACGTCATTTTAGTCACCTCCGTTCTACTGCAACATAAACTAGCCGGAGTACTACTACTCGTATTTCTAACACTATTCCTTGCCATTATTATAAGATGTAAGTTCATCATAGCTTAGTGTGTGGTTTATTTCATTTATAAATGTTCATTTTTCAAAGTTCTTATTTTCTTTCCACATTTAGGGTTCCGCAGGCTATACGCAAAGGTTCCAACAGCAGCTGACCAGATCAGGCTAGTAGTGATGGTAAGAAATAAAGCAAATGTCAATTATGCAGCAAGAATTATTAGGTTGCTAAGTTTTGCAACTCACTGAATACTTGCTCTCATTTGATATGAAGCACTCACATTTTGCTTGTATGTTGCTTATGATGTAAGCTACAAGCATAGCTGCTTTTCCACCAGATTCTGACGTCAAGGTGAGGATTACGGCAGGTATACGGCAAAGTGGGGAAAAATGTAAATTATTACGGATGGCTGAAACTTGGTATAGGGGATTATCGACATGCTAATCACGAATAATATGCTGAATTTGCATGGTGAGTGCTTTTTGTGAGCATACTGTAGTGTTGCGGTATAGGATCCCACCTTAAACAATGGAAAAAACTATAACTTAACAGACGAAAATGACATACGTGATTGGCAGGTCGAATAATCTCACTATGTAAAATCTCCGCGGATTTTGATGTTCCCACTCCTCAGTCATTGATGGTTGTCTCCACCAGCCTTGGTACTTCAACTTTGTGAGAGCGCAAGAGCTCGACTTGTATTTCGCTTCTAATCCTTTTCTACTGAGCCAGATGAGTCAACCTCAAGCAATAATTCATATGCAGATTCGGATCATTATGCATTATCTGGGTCGCGAACGGCTTTATTTTTGCTTAGGACCTCTAAATTCTCGAAATTTACTATTTTTGGAAAAAAATTGTACTTTTGCTAATAGTTTAATCATCATTGTAGTTTTTTATTCCTCTTTCAAAAATTAAAAAGTTTGTGCATGGTTGTAGCACACATTGAGATCTACAAATAGCTGAAGTTTGAGTTCTCCATGTTCAAAGAGAGTAAAGTTATGGAAGCAGTTGCAAAACTTAGTTTCCAGCCTAATATATCGTAAAATCATCGTTATTCAGCAATCCGACTATAAGGACGTTGATGTAGGCGAATCTTACTGGGATCAAATCGCATCTTTACCTTGCTTACCTTGGAATGAGATATCCATTGGCAGGTAACTGAATATTACAATAATTATAGGCTTTTGAGGAGACTATTTCGAATCTACCGTCACACCTTAGCAACATTTTCCAATCAGACATGGTCAGAGTCTCTGTAGATAACATTGAAATTTCAAAAGGCTTTGGTTAGAATATGACCAGAAAGTTTCTCTCACACATTTTTACCTTAGGAAGAACGCTAAGAATGAAAAATACTATCTTTGAACTGTAAAAGTAGAACTTTCAGAATGACAACATGAAAGAAAATACCGCTACTCCCAATGTTGATGAGGGGTAAAAGTACGAAGAAATTAAATATAAATGCTTACCATGGTGTTGAGCTACGATTTAAGCAACATCTTATTTTTTTATTTGCACACATAATACTCAAATATTCATTCAGAAACTTTGTATGACTACGACTAGCTACCAAGAGATCTTCACCAACTTCTTACGGATTTTAAGGCTTTGAAACTGTTAAGTTTGAAAAGCCTCCCGAAATTTTTTGAATGGAAGCAAGGCACCTCCTTTGAAATTTTTTTGCCTTCCTTCCCTATCCAAGCTAAGCCTTCAGTACTCATCGTCATTGGTCTAATACTTCAGTCACATGGTAAACATGACTTTTCCTTCTTATTAAGCTATTTTCGAAGCGTGAAGGTGTCATCCATGAATAACTATGGAATGACTCCACTCTTATAGGAGTGCTAAACACGAAATGGTTTATAACTATGAAATCACAACTCAGAAGTGAAGAATCGTTCACGGTGGGTCTCAAGACGAGTTAAATTGCAGAGAGATTGGAACGGGTGCATTTGGAACAGTTCATGAAGGGCATACCAAAGATGGAAAAGCTTTTGCTGTGAAGACAATCTGCATGAACAAAAGCACATCGGCTGAAGCACAGCGAGAATTTGCCTTTGAGGCACTATTTATGCAGTGAGTCTCAACGAAGCTCCTTCAGTCAAAAAAGTAACACCTTCTTTCTTTGCAGCAAGTTCAACCATCCAAATATTGTTCGTCTGCACTGGATTCAATGGGATCCACCTCGACTGAGAATTATTCTAGAACTCATGGAGGGTGGAGACTTGCGCTCATTTTTAAGAGACGCTCGACCGACGCAGGTGACTGATAAAAAATGACATCAATAGGTAATCTGAGAAATTTTCTAGGAGAATGCAAACCCATTCAACCTCAGTATTCTAGACATAGTGAATATCTCTTTGGACATAGCTAGAGGTACGTTAGTTTCTGTGAGATAAACTCAACATAGAATTGTTTTTGCGGTCAATTTATTACATTTTCAAAATGCTAAATTACGGGGATTTTTGAGATATACTGGCATGGTTGGAAACTTCAACGGATAGTACTGTCACTTGTTTCCTTGCCTATTAGCTTTTACCCTAATCAGGCACTTTTTGCATGGTATATAGCATTTGCACGTATTTGGACCATAAAGTTGTGCATTGCTTCAAACGTATTATAAAAGTTGCTTCAAGAAGATTGTTCGCCAAGAAGAAGAGCTGTTTCGGGCACGATTAGCGATTTAATTTGTGATTGATGTCTTTCTAATAGGTGAAGATATGATAATGTGATCCAAATGATAACTTCTTTCAATATCATGCTCAAAATTACATTGAAATACCATCTTTGATATTACATGATCATTCCAGGATGTGAAGAACTGAATCGCCAGAAATACATCCACAGAGATCTTGCAGCACGAAATTGCCTTCTGAAGATGGGACCAAACAGAAGAGCAAAAATTGGCGATTTCGGCATGGCCAGGGATATCTACGAGTATGGCTGATCTCATACACTCATGCTTTGAATCTAGTTGACTTCAGAAACAACTACTACCGAAAAGGTGGAAGAGCCAAGCTACCGGTGAGATGGATGCCTCCGGAAGCGTTCCTGGATGGTTTGTTTACCACCCAAACTGATGTTTGGTCATTTGGTAAGTTTCCCTTAACTAGCAAATATCACTAAAATAATCATACTTACTTCTAGGAGTGGTTTTATGGGAGATCTCCTCGTTTGGGATGCTGCCGTATTATGGAGTAGACAATTTTGATGTTATGGGATTGGTAACCAATGGTGGCCGACTGGATGCTCCAAATACTGTACCACTGGAGGTGGAGCATCGACTCCAGTTTCTAAATGAAATAATCCAAGTGGCACACAATTCAGTTGCAAGAAGTGATGCGGAAGTGCTGGAACACAAAAGCTGAAGAACGGCCTTCATTTTCTGAGATCGTGGCTTCACTGGAATTGCTTGCTCAGGTAAAAGTCCTGCAGAATTTTTTTTTGTTGTTGTTTTCATTTTTTTGTTATTTCAAGCTATATGGCACCAACTTAGTTAGTAATTATAATATGGAACATAAAAAATTTATTGGAAAATTGAAATTCTGACTGTCCAGTTTTATTTTCTTGATACTGATTAAAACACCGGAACCTAGCTACAAGAATAAGCGAGAGGAATGGTTTCAAGTTGAGTATAGTTGTATACTGTCGCTATAATTTCAGCATCAAACAACTTTTCGATCACCCTAGTACAAAATTTTGGCCGATATGCAACTTTGTTTTGAGTTCTCAAAGAAGCTACTGAAGCCAGAGTTCATAGTCTCGAAAAAAAATCAGCTCTAAAGTTGCATTCAGTCGCAATTTTTTCAAGCAAACAAGACGGCTTTTTCTAACGCGGTATTGGGCAGAAGTCTGGAACATTTCTTGGTCATTAACCCATCGACGACGACGCCTAATTTTGCGTGGCGGAGCTGTGGAGTAACGCGATTTTGCACAACTCTTTCGGTGCGGGAAGGTCTTGCGGTTATTTACATGCAAGATTGTTTTGTAAACAACCATAAACATTTTCTTGAATGACGGAGCCTACAGGTCCCAAGAGTGTAAAATTGGATGAGTTTGGGCCAGCGATGGTCCACATCGTCCCTGGCAGCAAGAAATGCGTGGGCCATCGGTGGTCCACATCGTCGTCAATGGATTAATCTTATCTTATATATAAAGCTGAATGTCTGTTTGTATGTATGTCTGTCTGTATGTATGTATGTATGTGTGTACGTATGTTCCGAATAGAAAATTCCATTTCTGAACCGATCCGGACCAAACTTGGCACACATACACTTCGGGCCCCGGCGGGTGTCATAGGCTACTTTTCGTCATCGATCGATATCGATTTTATCGATTTTTATCGATTTTTTTGCTGAGTTCACCTACGGGGCTGGGAGTTGGCACAGGGGGGTAATCGAGCATGGGGATTCCGAATACAATATTGGTTTTCAGGATTATCGATTACTTTTATCGATTTTATCGATTTTTTTGCAAAGTTTGAGCTACGGGGCTGGGAGTTGGCACAGGGGGGTAATCGAGCATGGGGATTCCGAATACAATATTGGTTTTCAGGATTATCGATTACTTTTATCGATTTTATCGATTTTTTTGCAAAGTTTGAGCTACGGGGCTGGGAGTTCGCACAGGGGGGTAATCGAGCATGGGGATTCCGAATACAATATTGGTTTTCGGGATTATCGATTACTTTTATCGATTTTATCGATTTTTTTGCAAAGTTTGAGCTAGGGGGCTGGGAGTTGGCACAGGGGGGTAATCGAGCATACTGATCATCCCTAAGGGGGGTGATCAGCATGCTCGATTACACCCCTGTGCCAAATTCCAGCCCCCTAACTCAAATTTTCAAAAAATCGATAAAATCGATAAAAGTAATGGACGATCTTGAAAACTAATATTGTATTCGTAATCTGCATGCTCGATTACCCCCTGTGCAAACTCCCAGCCCCGCAGGTCAAACTTTACAAAAAAATCGATGCAATCGATAAAAGTAATGGACGATCCTGAAAACTAATATTGTGTTCGTAATCAGCATGCTCGATTACCCCCTGTGCAAAATCCCAACCTCGCATGTCAAAATTTACAAAAAATCGATAAAATCAATAAAAGTAATCGATAATTCTGAAAACTAATATTGTATTCGGAATCCCCATGCTCACTTCCCCCCTGTGCCAACTCCTAGCCCTGTAGGTGAACTCTGCAAAAAAATCGATAAAAATCGGTAAAATCAACATCGATCGATAACGAAAAGTGGACTGTGACACCCGCCGGGGCCCGAAGTGTATGTGCCAAGTTTGGTCCGGATACGGCGGAGCCGGGTAAGCCAGCTAGTCTTATATATAAAGCTGAATGTCTGTATGTCTGTATGTCTGTATGTCTGTCTGTCTGTACATATGTGCGGAATAGAAATTTTTATTTCTGAACCGATTTGGACGCCATCTAGTGAACTATATGACCCACTCTCACGCAAGGGTCAACTGGAGCTTTTCAAAAAATGCTAAATTAGAGGCCCATATATGCCTGGACAGCTCGAAGTCCTTGCTCTGAGAATTTCATTCCCAGTTCGATTATCTTTGATATTTTGTCAATGCAAACTCCATTCATTTCCTTATCTCAGCATATGTAAATGAGGTCATTTTTTTTTCAGAAGGAACAACTAGCTCAAGTACCGATTTGCTGCTTTGGTCCTATGTCACCAGCTATCGTTTCACCCGTGGCCTGCTCCAGCCCATCTATCGCATTTCCATCTCCATCACTACCATCTGTCGCCGATACACCTTGTACTGTTGCCACAGCGCTGAGTCCGTCTTCTCCTGATGATAGGCCAGGTAAAACAAAAGTTAATAAGATGCTAGGGAAGTTATGAGAGTTTCTCTAATGGAAATGCTTACTTTATCTATTCTTCAACCTCTGTATTCCTTCCTAATTAATCATCAGATCAATTCAAATCATATAACTTTAGGTTTTGGCATTTCGATGACTGGTGTGCCATACATCCCTATTAACAGCGGCGCACTGCGAGAGGTTTTTGAAGAAAGATCAACGAGCGAAGGCGTACAAAATAATTCAGGTAAGAAATTCGTTAATCCATTTACTTTTCGCACTGGCTCAAATGAAAAGAATGTTCAGATCTTGAAAAACTGATGAACGCAGCTTCATGTGCTGACGATTGGGACCAAGGTGAATCTCACATTGATTTTAAAAATTTAGATTTTTGGCGCTTTTTCATATTACACAACCAAAAAATGAGAATTCTCGGAGCTAAAACTTTGTACATAGGGTTATTTGACATGCTGATTACGAAAATGACATTCATTTCGTATAGGATCTTTTTTGAGGGGTTACGGTAAGCATACGGTATGAGGTCAAAATCGACTGATCTTGCTGAAATTCTGCACAGAGGGGTTACCAGACATGCTCATCACAAATATCACACTTTTTCAGTGGGAAAACGTTTTCGCATATGGTTACGGTACGGTTGAAGATTGAAGCCCTAGATGGGTGGAATCTGATATAGAGGGATTATTCGAAATGCTGATTACGAATATCGTAATTTTCATGCATTTTGGGACCTTTTTGTGGAATTACAGTAGGTATTGGGTAAGATGTCTCGTGGATTTGCCTGAAACTTTGTGCAGGGGGCTACCTGATGTGCTGATCAGAACATGCGCCCATCTTGTAGGATAAGGACTTTTCGTGGGTTTTTTTCGGATGGAAATTGACCTGAGAAGAATGGTGCTTATCTGAAGCTGCAAATTATTATAATCTATACTAAGACGTTATTGCGGTGAGTAAGTATGTAAATTCGTGATCAGCATGCTCGAAAACCCCTTTAGAGCAAGTTTTGAGCAAATTTGATGTGACCAAACCAACGTATACCCATCGTAAGTCAAAATGGCGCTACCTTGCGAATTTGATATGTCATGCATTTCGCATTGCTGGATAACCTCTCTTAACCAGATTCCGCCATCTAGGGCTTTGACCTTCTACCGTGCACCCACCATAAATACATGGAAACGTTTTTCGGCTGAAAAGTGTGCCTCTGTGCAGATTTTCAGCAGGATCTGAAATCTTCTCATACCGCATGCCTTAACCCATCAAAGAGGCTCTACATGCGAAACGCATATCATTTTCGTGACCCGCATGCCAAATAATCCCTATGCGCAAGGTCTCAGCAAAATCTTTTCCATTTCTGAATCTGGAATAGTACTCATATTTTTTGCTAAGATAAGAAATTAGCCAGTTTTAGCCAAAACAACAAGAACAAATATCAATTTGTGACTAACTTCATTGGAAAACTAAATGTCATGAAGTGCAAAATGCAAAATGAAGAGCTCAACATTTTCTGATAATAATTTCTTCTCGTTCTTGAATGAAAATTTTTCCCTACTCAATGTGTGTTTTTTAGATCAAGCAACTGACAATATCGACGATACCATAGCAAAAGTGAAGCAGGCTCTTTTCGGAAGTCGAGTGGGTTTGACATTATACAAATACAGAATACTTAAGGAATTTCTTCTCTAGGAGCCACCAACACCACCGCCTAGAAGGCCGACAACACTTCCGCGTCTGTGGAATTGAATTAGCGTTGTGATATTGTTGACAATTCCATACAAAAACTTTCTAGTGTTGAGCGAGACTAGCTTCTTGTTTGTAACTTCCGTTAGCTTGTTGTGAAGTTGTTAGTTATTATATCAGTTGCTTATGTTTAGAATCTTTAAATCTCTCAATTGTAATCAGTACTTGCTCGGGTAAACCTAAAATTTGTTGAGCTTTAACGTTCGACTTACGGTTTTCTTACATTGCTTACATTTGATATAATGTAATGATTGAAAAAGTACAGATCAAAATGCTTTCCTCAAACGATATCATTTATTTGTTACATATTTCTGCATGATAAATCTGTTTGGCTTACCCTAGAATCGTCTGAGACTTTCAAAATATTCACCAGCATTATTTTCTTTCGGTTTTCCGGAGAAGTTCGGGTGTATAATACTATGATGACTCAAAGTAATTTGCCTAAAACTTGCTGAGCACTATGTCAGGTCAAACGAGCACAAAATTGCGTTCTGCACAGGGATATGATGACAGAGGCGGGTGGAGCCGGGCAAGCCAGCCAGTTTTCTTTTTAGGAAGTAAGCACGAAACGGTTCTTGCCACACTAGTAACCTGGTCCCGAATCCTCATTTTGAGGAAGTTGTAGCTCTTGAAAACTAACACCTAAGAAAAACTTTACTGTCTTTAATGCCGTGGCACCGTCTAGCGTGCGCAATCGCAGCCAGGCGTACAGAACAAACATCAAAAACTCTTCACTCCAGGCTTATAGGCACTAAGAGATTGTGAAAGAGTAATTAAGGGGTCGCTCAAGTAGGTGTGCAAGCGGGGAATTTTAGAGGACCTGTGCATTGGGGGACGATCCCAGAATTTCCGACTGGGGGAGGAGGGGCGAAATATTGCTTCCCTCCCCCCTCCAAAAATTCTTTACAACCTAATTTGAATTTTTAAAAACTCAAAAAGTTATCTTAATTAGTGTAAACAATCACTCGCACATTCTTATAATACATTTCATTTTCATTTCATTCATTTTCATTAAATACGCTCAAGGCGTACCATAAAAAAACAGAAACAAACAGTGTAATTGTTAGTTTTACACAAAGCACGAATAACAACAGAACATCATATGCTTCAGGCCCAGACTTCATAAATCTAAAGAATAACGACTTAGCTTGCAAGAAGACTGCTGGATATTACGAATGTCAATGATGAGTTATATCCACAGAGATGGAACCCATGCCCCCGCGTTAGCCAGCAAACGATCTTAAAGTAATCAAACAAGCAAACGACGGCGGGTACATACCCACCGGCCTGCCGGGGAGAGCCCAAAACTCCATGAGCATTGCCATATGTCCCTCGTTTGCTAGCCACGATCTCAAAAGATTTCCAAGAAACAGACAGGAATTTATAGTTCAACCAGTTTGCCGAGGAGAGCCCAACTCCAAAGCAAGAATAAGCATAATATGATCTTCAAGCAGTCAAAGCAAGCAAGCTGTGCGAAACAGGCTAAAATATAGATATGACCAGGCTTGAACCACATGATGAAGAGAACAGTGTTAGTAAAAGGCTCAAAAGCAGTTGAGTTCAACATATGCAAAGTTATAAATTGGCTGCTAGTCAGTGCATATTCGTAACCCAATCATGCTCATTGCACATGTCTGGTTGTAACCGCGCAGTCATAAAAGAAGGGAAGTAAGGTACGTTGAACCTGCAAAAAAGTCATTCAATCTTCTTTTTTTAAGCTCTCTTCTGAAAGAGGAACTATCACTGCATGCCAAAAGTTCGTGTGGTAATTCTTGTAACATTTTTGATTTGCGAACAAAAAAATCCTGCTCAAATAAGGAACGAAATTATTGTCGCCCACCAAAGTGACGGAAATAAATAGAGATTGCACTAGTCCTTCCATGGCTAGGTCTGAAAACCCAGTACTTGGAAGGCCTCAACCTGGTTTCACCCCTAAAAATCCTGAAAGCTAATATGATATCATGAACAACTCTCCGATATGTAATGCTTTCAAGATCAAGAATTTTCAACCTCTCTTCATAACTAGGAAGTAATCGGGGGGTAAGCTGGATTAGGAAAACAGCGGTAGAAAAGCAGTTTTGTGAACACTTTTTGAACCTTCTCCAATGCCTGCTTGTGCTTCCTCAGGGAGGGGCTCCAAACTTGAGTCGCATATTCGAGAACAGGAATAACAAGGGCTTTATAAAGTCTCAACAAAATTTTTTGATCAGTTGTTTTGATGTTTCTAAAGATTGTGTATAAGATGGAAAAAGCACGATAGGTGACGGAGGCGATCTGTAGATCCGGTTTCAATCTCGAATCTATCAGAACTCCCAGATCTTTGACGAATGTTTTGTTAATCAGTGCTATTCCATTGTGCTGATAATGCACTTGTTCTTCGCCACCGATGTGAAAAACGGAACTTTTAGCAATGTTAACAGAAATATCCCACTTTGTACACCAGGCAATCATGAGATCAATAGAATGTTGTAAAGCTTCTTGGATCTCATAGCGATTTTCATTGCTGTACATTCCGTATATTTTTATGTCGTCTGCATACATAAGTACATGAATTCCGGGGTGAGTTTTTAACAGCTGGGGTAAATCAGCAGTATAGACCGTAAATAGAAGGGGAGACAGAACACCTCCCTGAGGAAGCCCACTAACGCAAGGAAAACGCTCAGAGTGTTCAATCCCAACGCGGACAGTCATATGTCTAGATTGGAGATATGACTTGAGCTAATCAAGTAAGGCGCCTCTGACCCCATAATGCTCAACTTTGTACAGCAATTTAGCATGACTTATACGATCATGTTAAATTACAAATATATCGCGTCCCCGCCCCCATCGGTCCGCCTCAGGTACACCTGACCTAAGGCCGTACCTTGTATATAACATTGACAAATATATTTTTCTAAGGTATCCAGATCATATATACAGGATATGACTTTCGCAGTATTAACATAAAATCAATAATTGATAAAAGCTGACCAAAAAGTATTATGTAGTCCAAGCCTTTGTGACGCGATAGTGTAGAGTTGTTTCGCTCGGAAAGCGCAACCAATGTGAACCGAGAAGGCACTATCAAAGTATGCTTTGATAAAGAAAGCAATTACGATGTATTTCTAGCTTCAAGTGTCTGTAGGCGGAGCAGATGGTGGTTTGAAAAAAACGGACAATTAGTAATAGTGCGAACAGGGCTTTAGATATGATAATGTGGCGAATTGAAGTTTTATCACAAGCCTAATGATATGCGTCGAAGTACCTCTGGGCGAAATTCTTCTTACTGCGGTAGAAAACAGCTAAAGTTAATTAAGCAGCGGACAGAAGTCAATACAAATTGACTATCGACCCTACGGATCGCTGTAAGTGGATCAGGGCAGATATACTAATATTGGCTTAGTTGGGACTGCATCTAACTCTGAGCGCCCTTTTCATCACTTTACTTGAATAGCTTGGTAAATGAAAAAACTTCTGCAGGTAACTTGTCGCGAAAATTTGGTGGAAACAAAATTCTATTGCTCCAGTCACAAAGGTTCAGTCACAGAAATAGTTTACCTTAGCTTTGCCGGCGAAAGCTTGCATGCCGGGTCTTCACTCCAGAAGCAAATGCAATTTCTTTTATTTAATTACTTTCGAATCGAAACTCCAAAAACACAGCTGATGCTGCTTCCATTCGTGCACATTTCTCCAAGTTCGGAGCTTTCCATCAGAAGGGAACAATAATCAAAAACGAAAGAGGCAGCAAAAGTTGTGCAAGAAATGAGGCTGAAACGACCAAACCCGATATCATGAAAATACAAAGAAAAATTCGCGATTTTCGCAATCGTGATGGTTGTATCACTCCTCTCTGGAGATAACTGAAGTTATCGAGGATGCAGCGACTCTCTGAAATACAAAAAGAGCGTTTGAAAAATCACAACCCGTTTTTTATAAAAGTAGAAGGCCTCCAGCGAGGCTCTTCAATACTTCCTGTCAGTGGTGCTTATAATCAGTAAAAAAATGTGAAGATGAAGGCGGGCTATAAATGGTGCTCGCCGAGCGCTATAAACATCGCGCTGTTTGATAAACACTCATATATCAATGCTAAGTGTTGTTCATTCTTATTTCGCGATGAACAACCCTTCACAGTCGGTCCGGCTCATCGAGAACGCCATAGACAGATTGATTGCTTATGGAGACAGGGTGAGTTTCGCCTCCGGATGTTGCACCTATACCAAGCTTCTTTTCTTCAGATACATGCGGTGTACCGAACGCAACACCCAGAAGAGAAAAGCAACCAGGTATGAATCTAATTTAGAATATAATATGGCGATGGAAACATAGTGATGAGTGCAAACACTCCAGACAGACAAGCGCTTGCATAAAGAGAGTTGTTTTGTAACCCGTTCTGCCAAATCTATTTGTAAGAAATGGCATGGCGGCATTATGAGAACTCGCGAAAATAGTGCTTCATGACCAGTCGTCAATGCCGTTTCCCAAAAAGAAAAAATTGCCTCGGCGACGTTGACGCAACGTTAAAACTTCCAGATTCGCCGCGTACGCTATGGCATTCAAATCGACCTTCTAAACGATCGGAGATCCGCATGCAAAGTCTCGCATTGCGCATGCCTGAGAATTACATGAAAAAGCGAAATTGAAGGCCGCGGATACAATATCATTCTCAGACGGAAGTCTCAAACGCGCTTCTGAAAGTCGCTCTGAAGGATTCTCATAAGGAGACTGCAAAAGGGTCCATTAGAGTTCCGCCTAAGAGTTCCGCTCTAAATTTATAGACATCATCCACCTCCAAACAATTTGATAGCAACGACAATTCGTGCACACGAGTGTAATTGGCAATACAAGTAATGCCTTATGACCAGAGCGCAGCACGAGTTCGAAGACTTGAATTTTCATGAAACGAGCCCTCTTCAATCCTTCAGGAGCTCCGAGAAAGACGGAAAAAAAGTTAAGTTACTCGTAGTGGAATTGGCTGACCAAACTTCCAACGCTAACGTTTCGGCGCATTCGCCTTCTTCAGAGTCTGCAAGCCGAAATAATATGAACTTACTTACTCGCTCAGACGTCAACAAAAGACCAAAGTATCATCCGAAAACAAAGCTAATGCTAACAAAATCATATCCACAAGCAAAGTACTCACCTTGGATAGCACAAGACGGAAGTCCGAAGACCAAGCAACTCAAGACATCTCTATTTTTGCTCTATTGTTCAAAGATTGCTTCGCTCAATTTGTTAAGTAAGTGTTCCACCTCTACCAACTTAAATCAATCATACACAAGACATTACCTCAGCTCTTTCACACGTGGCTTGATGACCCGGCCTCATATTCAAGTCCGCATGGGGACTGATAAGGAACGAGTTCCCTCTTTATGGCGGTACAATCCTCTTTCCGGTTTAATTAGAAAGTGAAGTAGAAATGAAAGACACAAATTGATTTTAAGTTGCTAGAGGTGGAACACTTACTTAACAAATTGAGCGAAGCAATCTTTGAACAATAGAGCAAAAATAGAGATGTTTTGAGTTGCCTATTAGCTAAAAGATATAGTACCATTCTCAAAAATGGGGAGAAATTGATAATGGAGCTCACAAAATTGAACTTACCAGTCTACTGTCGAAATTAGGCAAGAAAAGACTCGCTGTTCACACCATTCTATCGTGTATGTAGTCCAGCTGGTGTCGTATGAACGCTGTGCTCTGTAACAACTTTCACAAGCGCGCGTTCTCCCGCGAAAGAATCCATCGGGCATGTCAGTCATGCAGTAACTCGAATGGGCAGTGTCCGCAGGCTCACCCACAATTTCAAAATGTTATGAGATGTCTTTTTGCTTTTGCCCTAGAACGGAGCTCACTTTGACTCCTGTACATGTGTGCTTGTCTCGCTTATAACTAATTCACTGTGAGCATTGGGCACACTCGAGATGTTCGGAATCAATATCAGCCAGAGAAAATAAGAGTAGTTTAAGTCACTAGATTCACCGCGGTATTCGTCTTTGTTGAAAGACTGCTAATCCAGACGAATGATCTAAAAAACCTTGTTGAAAAGCTTTTTTTGTTAACGTTGGAAGCACTATTGTATACACAAAGTCTAAATTCGGTCATTAATGGTTTTTGCGCACTAAGAATTTCGTACTCCAGTGGGAGCACATGCTAGCGCATTTTGTACTAATTTCCATTTGTTCTCTCAAAACCCGTAAGCGTGTGTAAAGGAATGACGTAGAAGTACAACATATCAAGTTGTTAAAAAGTTCTGTCAACTCTTTTGACCAGCAGGATCAATTAGCCTTCGTCTTCTAATGACCTGGCTGTGGAGGGTCACTGGTTTGATACCAAAGCGCGGGACGCAAAAATACTCTTCCTTTCGATGGTGGCGGCAGGCAGTTCCTCCTGATAAAAAACCATGCCAGTTCAAATCCGCTTTTGAGCTCTGTGAGCTGCAAAAGATAGTCTTGGATAAAAGGCTTTGTATGTGCCAGCTGGCTCCCAATTTTGCCTGAGACACTGCCCTCACTGCTGTGATTAGGACCGGAACCGAATCTCGATAGCAGAGACAAAATTCTTCCTACTTCTATTCACTGCCTCCCACCTCTTTGAACTTATAACGGCAGCAAAATTGAAATCCTCTTTTCCTCACCATCCGTCCCCACGTTCATGTCAGCTTCCCCCAACACTTTCGTGTTGCCACTTTGTCACCTTTGATCTCACGCTGCTTGTCTCCTTTTCCTTTGATTAACTTCATGCTGCGGAGCCCTGTAACAGCATGAACTTGCTTGTCACATAATAATTTTCCTATCGTTATCACTGCGAAATCAAAATGAGCTTTACCGCTACCGTTTACCGCTACTGTGAAAGAGGCTTTATAAAAAAGCTGCATGCGATCGTCTATCCTTTTCTCAGTGACAGCGATATAAGATTCTGCGATATAAGATCTGGAAACTTCGAAAGTTCTTAAGATGAGTATAAATGGCGCACAAAATTACTCTTCTTGAGGTGTCCAAAAATTGCTAATTACGAAACCGCATCGTACATTATTTAGAGTGAAAAAGCAACTGAGTTTGCAAGGTTCAATATTACGGAAAATTGGCATTTTGTCTTCCTTCGACCCATAGCACAGCAAACTCAACAACTGAGTTGGCTCGTTGTTCTTTAGCGACATTGAAACGCAACATCGACTTACTCTTCTATCTAATGGATAAATAAATAAAGTGGAAGAAAAAGAGAAAGTGGGGTTTTCAAAAAGTAAAACTTCATAAGCAGTGAATTAAAATGTTGTTTTATGCGTATCCACATGTCGATTTAAACCCATGTAGCATTTCTTGTTCATATCATCGTGTGCTATTCATCTCCGCTAAAGGCAGACCATGGGTTTCGACTATGTCACACCTGAATTTTGAAAATGTAGATCTCAAAGGAGGTCAAAGCTGTTTCAACAGCAAATTTGAGATCAATTCCGCTGTTGAAATTGATGTTGTATAATATGCTAACGGTCATCGCTTATGTCTCACTTTTTTATCCTTGCAAGCAAAATGTTAACATGCAGCCAGAGCATCAGGTAAAAGCATTCCTGTTGACCTGAACCGCCCATGGTGAGAATGACTACCGCTATGATAATTTATAAGGATTTCAATTTTTCAGCTCGAAGTCGCTGCTTCTCAACGCAGTCTTCCCACTACTTCGCGTTCTCAGTCATCAGAGGTAAGCGTCCGTCGCTCTACCTGAATATGCCGCGTCTACCAAAACTCAATAATGACCTGCTTATGGTAGTCGAACAGTTTTGTAACCACGCATGTTTTAGAGAAGAACCTCTATCTACTCTACGACGACTAAGGTGGCCGAAGTCCAGCCTGTACGTGTACGTTTTATGCAACAAATTCTCGAAGAAACTTCAAATATCTCGCGTGGCAGCGCAGATTTTTTTAATTGAAAAAAAATTTCGAAAAACCATCATATTAGGTTAGTGCAAAAGTTCTTTCGCACCAAATTCAAAAATTCATTACTTGTTGAATTCTTAACGAATCTGCAAGGTCTAAGTTTGTACAAGAGAGGAACTCATGCTCTCTGCATATGTACCTAAATTGTTCGTTAATGTATACAAATGAAGGAGATAGAAGCGCAAAACCAAAATCACTTAAAATCTGAATTTTTCGTGTAGGGTCAAAAAAATCGGAAACTTGCAACAAAAATCGGAGCAGTCGGTATATTAGGTCATTTTACCAGCTCTTTCTAACGGTGCAAAGCTTGCGCCGATTGAGCGTCTCTGTGAAAAGCTATGAATTTCCTGAAAAATGCCAAAATAAATCAATTTCGCTTTTTTGTATTGCTTGCTCGAAAATCATAACTTTTTATAGAGACGCTCAATCGGCGCAAACCAAACTTTACACTGTTGGAAAGAGCTTGTAAGAGCCTACAATACTGACTGCTCCGATTTTTGTTGCAAGTTTCTGATTTTTTATGACCCTACACGAAAAATTCAAATTCTGAGTGATTTTGGTTTTGAGCCTATCTCCTCCATTTGTACACACTAACGAACATTTCAAGTACAGTTGCAATGAGCATGAGTTCCTCTCTTATAAAAAGATATAGATCTTGCAGATTCGTTGAGATTTCAACAAGTTATGAATTTTTGAATTTGTTGCGAAAGAACTTTTGCACCAACCTAATAAATCAAAGTAATTGCAGCCGGACGATGAAGTTGAGACAGTAAACAATTACTTATATACTGTGTCCAAAGGCGGCAGGAGATGCACCATACCGGGGAAGGTGAAAAATGCACAACTATTGGCATCTGCATACTTTCAGTATTCAGATGTACTCGCGTCGCCTGCCAGACTCATGGGTTGCCATACGATTTGTACTTTTCGACGAGGATGGCGGTGAACTACTCAATCTAAGAACCGAAATTAGAGGAGAGCAGCTAAGAAACACAACCGTCAATGGAAGAAACGCGGAGCTAGTTCCATGAAAAAGCAATCATGATAAACGTTCAGCATCACAGCTTGATTTTAGTCAAAACATTTTTTGAATAAAATGCATTTTGTGAACATGTCTGCTAATTTTGAGAGTGCTCACTCCTTGTGAGTAAACAATGTCAGAGCAGGCAAATTCCTTACCGCTAATTCAATTACAAGCGTGAATTTTTGGCGTTCTGATGTTTTCCCAAACGTGAAGCTCGCCAGTGTATTTGTAACACAAGAGCGTTATGTCTTAGATCCTCGAAAGCGTCGAAAACTTCGATAAAATGCAAAACTACTTGATTGTGCAATAAAACATGTCTAACAGTGCCAGTTCCTCATCACAAGTTCAAAATTTTGAGTTTATGGAAAGTTAGAAAGTTTGGAGAACAACGTTTCAAGGACTTCGCAGGAAATCACATACAGGGCTTATCAAACGCAGTGTCGCTTGCATCAGCATCTCCACTCTCGCGCTGGACTCTACGTCTCTTTTGCAAACATGCTCTCTAATCACATCCAATCGATTGAGGCTCCGCCTTTCCCACGCTCACCCTGGGAAAGTGACCAGAGAGCATGTGCGCGGAAGAGATGCGGAGTCCAGCGCTGGAGTGGAGATGCTGATACAAGCGACACTCCGTCTGATAAGCCCTATAGAGTGTTCCATTTATAATTTAATGTGCAGGGATAAGTGAGGCTACTTAATGGGAGTAAGAGCTTTTGTCTAATGCAATGACGTTTTGCAAACTTTAAATGAAGAGCCGAAAAATGATGTAGGGAGTAGATAAAGGTGCTGTCGGCCCATTTTCGGCAGTCAGGACAGAAGTTGGTCAGAGGGCGGAGGAGGAGGGGAAGGGCTCTTATTTCTCAACGACGAGCGAAGCCAAGATATTATTCAGTAACGCCATAAAAATTTTACGTTCTTAGTAAGCTATACAATATGCAATTCTTAGTTATCTATTTGAAAAAACGCTTGCGACTTTCAAATTTCATCATTTTCATAAGTAATGATGGAAGTTTTGTGCTCGGTTCGAGCCTAACTTTTCCTAACATAACATTGCCAATATCTAAACACTAATAAAAGCAAACATGTCATGATCGGCTGCAAGTAGGCTGCAAAAACAGATGGCGTAAAGCCTCGGGCAGAGTTCACGCGATTTGATCGTCGCGATTCATTCGCTACAAGACAAGTGTTACGAGTTTATTGCATGCCGATCTTCTTGTATTTCGGTTGTGATAGTTAGTCACGATTAGTCGTGTTGGAAAACTATCACAACCAAAATGCAAGAAGATCGACATGCAATGAGTGTTACAGTTGTCTTGTCGCGATCGATCGCGACGAATCGAATCGAATCAAATCGCGTTAACTCCGCCCGAGACTTGGGGTACATACACAAATCAAAGTGGCCTTCGTATAAGTTATAATCATGTAACTATAATGCTCGAGAACGGTGTGCTTCTCTGCTCTTTGCAAAAATGGACGAACTGATAATGGTGACCAGTAATATTGTGGAGGAATCTTATCTGTATCTGTAATCTATGCTCTTTTGGCTACTTGTACGGATTTCCTGTTGTGATTTCCTTTAGCTCAAACTGCTCAAAAGCTATTAACCTTAGCCAACATTCATGCTCCAGCAGCAGACCTTATCTTCTGCATATATCCTCGATAAATAACCGCATCATCTACATAGAAGTATTTATATAACGAACGTAGATTCAGTATGGTTACCACTTTATTTTAACTGTATAAATCTTTTCCTTCTTTATCCTTAATCAAATCTTATACATTAGTTTTTTTAAAATTACGAACGGTTTTCTAGCCGTGCTGGCTCTTAACAAAGATTTTTAGATTGTCTTATGGGTACTATTGTCACATATACTGTCACGCAATATAAAAGCAAAAAGGATGCTTTATTCGACTATTGGTTGAAACACCCTTAAACTACAATTTCAAAAACCGCAATCTAAACTTTTCATTGTCACCCTGCTCTAAGGTGCCTACGTCCTTTATATACCGTTTTCGCATTATGAACTTACGCAAAATTTTTACTGTTTGTAATGCCCAAGCATCGCCCGCCTACGGCAGCAAACGGTGTATAGCCTCTGCTAAATTTTTGGTAGGCTTAACACACTGACCATTTCCACGACCCACCGGTTTCGTGAATACCGAGCTTGTAGGTTGAGTCCACCCAATGAGTTCGAGAACACTGAGTTCGTTGATGAGGACCGAAAGCACTTATTTATGTTTCTGGCCAACGTATGCAATTATTGTAGACACCACAATAAACTTGCCAATCATGCGCTCTCAAGCTGGACTTCAATGCACATTATGCATTGCAAACCTAACGACTTTACACTTTCAACCGCTCATAACTCTTTTCAAAGAAGCCTGTAACAGATAAGAATGGTAAATTTGGAAGCAGCTCATCAAGATGCATCTAAAGATTTGCATTTCATTCATTTCAGCACTGTGATTGATCCTTCCCTTGTTAGTTACCGTATACTACAAGCTTCTGGAAGCATTCTTGCGAATTTACGCCCTGCATGTGCTTTTTTCGAGAAGAATCAATTCAAAATCTGAACATGTAAGCTACAGACATTATTTCTGCAAGTTTAACAGTTGTCCTCGTACAGAAGTTCGCTGCAAATCATAATGGACTAAACTTGGTATATTTGCAAAAGCTTATGCTCATATGTAACTGTGGAGTTGTTTTCTATCTGAGTTTCTAAGTTAGCATTTCACGCTGATTATGATGGTGTGTAGCTTGCGGCAAATGCTCATTTACACATCTGGTTTACATTCGGTAGATGTATTCAATCAATAGCGTGATTTTTGAAGGTTCAAACCCTGAGGCAAAGTTTCGCTTCACAAAACATCGGCTGTCCAATTATGCAAAATGGCAGAGCACGCATTCAATCTGATAAATAATTATCAGATTGAATGCGTGCTTAAACCTTCAAACCCTGAGGCAAAGTTTCGCTTCACAAAACATCGGCTGTCCAATTACGCAAAATGGCAGAGCACGCATTCAATCTGATAAATAATCGAACAGGATACCTTGGTGCAACCAATGAGTAGACATTCAATTTGTACACAGGTCTTAGCGCTCTTCCATTTCTTACCAGTGCTCGGATAATAGCCCAGAATAATTTTTCTGAAGTACGATGATCTGCATAATGTTTTTAGCTAATACAAGTTATATGCTACCTACACGTACATGTGGCGCGTTACATTACAAGTGTACCTGATACTGACCGGTGTAACGACACGCTAGTAATAGCCAAAGTGCATACGATCATGTTCCAAAGTGTAGGTGAAACCGTGTACCTGGCAAGCGCAGCTGTTTGCCAACAAAGTTGATGATTGAAATGTCAGAAATCCCTCAGCAAAAAAGTAAAGCACAAAAACTTTGACGCGTAACTTTTTCGTAGTGCCAAAGCTGCAAAAAGTTGAGCTTATGGGGCATAGAGAAAAATCAACCACATTACAACACAAACTCGGCTGCGAAGGCACATCTGGCTTTGGTGGTTCTAATGACTTTGTGTTAAGAATAATGAGGTATCATTAGATTTAATATCTTGGATGTGGATGTTGTGGTTATGAAAGAATAAAAGTGAAAGTGTTCATAGGCTCTTTGATTCAAAGCTACCAACACCCTTCATAATTTGTTCATCTTACGGCTCTCCATTTCCTAAACTTGTATCAGTAGCTACCACTACTTGTTAACTGGATATACTCAAGCCCTCGGTCAAACTAAATTAAAAGCCTCCATATCAGGACGATTTGATAGTTCCATCATGATTATTGTACGAAGCGCAAGGATCGACATACAGAATTAGATTTTATGAAAATTTTGGAGCTCTGACTATAAAAAATCTGAATTTACACCAATCAAGCTTATTCTCAACGAACTCTCAAGTTTCTATATTTTCTTCGTGATATTTTACAAATTGAAGCACATTATAAGACTGGGTATTCAAGAGTGAAATTGGTGCATGGCTGAACAGGACTACTTTTAGTAGTCGTACAAAACTATCACAAAACATTTTTAAAAAAGTTGCAACGGCTATTTGTACTTGAGCGACTTTTGAAGCGAATGAAAAACATGCCTCTTTGTAAATTGAATGGATGTTTATCAAACGCTGCGTGATTTTTTCAAGACAAAAATCCTATCTCTTTTTGAAGTTTGGCCGCAATAACGAACATAATCCTTCCTTTAAGGTTTTGTGCTCACAGCTTCAAAGTTTGAAACGATATAGAGGGCTGATTTGATCAATATCTCTCTCTCTCTAATGAAATTGGCAGAGACTTTTATAAGAGTGTGAAGCTGTTGCATGAAAAGTTTTGCAGAGTTTGTTTCGTTGCCATCTTGGGGTGCGCACTATACGTCTCTGCCGAAATCTTTTTGGTAGAAGGTGATACACTTACAAGGGAAGTCCAGTTGGTCAATGGCGATTCGGAAGATTTGTATACCAACGGATGGAGCTTAAAAGGCTGATCTCAAATATATCTTGAAGACCTGCAAAGCGTTTTCCTACAGAAAGTTGTGAGTTTTTTGTCTATATATAATGGACGTGTGGCCTAAAAAAGAGTGCATAAGAACATAGGTCGGACAAGATTTGAAAGCGTTCAAGTAGTTTATATTAGGCCTACAGTACCTGCTTAATAGGTAATTTGTTTAACCCTGCATAGTTTGTGCAGAAATCGCGATTTTGCGACTCAAAATGCCCAAAAGTTTGGCATAAAAGACCTCATAACTTTTTTTCGGAAGAATCGTTCGTTGATATGGAAGGCATAACTGACAAGGGAAGCTACCTAACTTAGCTCGGCCTTTTGGCAAGAAACATATATAGTCTGAATCAGCTTCGAAAGCTGACTCCAAATACGCTATTTCTAGCTGTCACGCACCCTTCCGAAGCGAGTTATGGGCTTTTTCCTGCGCAAAATTGCCATGCTTATCGCACGAGCATCACCTCATCATCGTTTGAGTGCTGATACACCTGCGTTAAGCTTTGTTTTAGTGAGAAAAGACTGGATTTGTACTATTTCAATACCTCAGCACCTTTTTCTTGCTACAAGTCTTCTCATGTTC